GGTCAATTGCAATCACTCTGAAATTTGAAATTGAATGACCAGCTAAATTGAAATGTTCGGCTACTGGTTGATCAAGCTTAGATGTTCTGATAGCTGATCTATGTTGTGTCATTCTCATACGGAGAGTGTTTTTTCTTTCTCCGACATATTGTTTACCACAAATATTACAATATATGAGATAAATATATTGTATATATATATAATATACACATATATAAATGTATTTCAAATTTAGTTGCAATAACCGGAACTCATAATTCGGCCCTTCTGCTGTAAATGCAGACACCTGTACCAAACAGGATCCCTTCACACTCTTTTGCACGTGCATGGTGAAACAGCGCTAGTTTTTGTCGAACTACGTATACAGAGAGGCATCCTTGGGTAGATGTGATACACTTAATCGATTTTGAGTGTACTACCAGTATCTATTATATGAAAAATAAATTTTGAAAGATGACTGGTTATTAAATCTCTTATAATATTAAAATTACCGTGAATGTTAAAAGCAAATATTTTTCAAAGTACTTTAAGTTTCTAGTCATCGTATGCATAAAGAATGACAATATCATTTTTGCTAGCTAACTAAACCTAGCCAAAAGAGCGAAACAATTCTCGTGGGGTGGGGTGGGGGCGAAACTTGGCAGTGGTGAAACGTGCTGTTACCTGGCTTTGTTGGAGTACACTGAAAACATTGCGAAAACCCAGGCCTCACTAGTTTGTTATATAATGGGTTCACCCCTTGGCCCAGTTTTAGCTAATCAATTACTGAACTAGAAAAGTCTATTGTTCACAAACTTTATAGAATCAGGTTTTATTAGGCTTTTTTGTTGACACACTAGTATTAGTTTAAAGCCTATTCGCATTTTACATCACTTTAATGCTTTTCATAGACAGATAAATTTTACCTTTGAATCATTTGAAAACAGTGACATAGTACATTTTCTGGATTTACAATTTGAAAACTGTGTAGGAAGCATCAGTATACATCGTAAAAATACACATACAGGTCAATATGTCCATTACAGCATGGAGGAAATATGGAATGGGTACCCTTTAAAAGTTGTTAACAATGCACTTATAAAAAATTAAATGAACTTAAATGTATACATAGGCCTTATATATTACTTCTTATTTTTTAAATACTGTAAAAACTTAATAATATCACTTTGTCTCTTACCTGCTAGTCCAGCTCACTCAGCCAAACAAACTGGAGCGTGCCAATGAAATTTTATTGGCTCGTTGGTCTAGTGGTATGATTCTCGCTTCGGGTGCGAGAGGTCCCGGGTTCGACTCACGGACAAGCCCTCTTCGTTTTTATATCATCATATTCCTCTATTTTTTCCCCTGATCTATTTTTGAATAATCCTGATTTGATTTAATTTTGTTGTACAGTATTTGTATTTGTTGTATATTTGTATTTGTTGTGTATTTATATTATAAAATTAAATAATATAAATCTCATGATTAACTTTGTTTCATGATAGTGGCTATTGTTACACCAGTCTTAAACGAATTCCTGATTCTGTGTTATTGTAATCATAATAACATCTAATCAAAATTAGGAATTATCTTAAGACTGGTGGAATAATAGCAACTTAATTAAAAAAGCGACCTATTTATCCGGTTTACGTGAACCTACCAGGTCAAAGCCACAATCACATACACAGTACAACATATTGGGTCGGTTCAGTGGATGATTCTCGCTTTGGGTGAGAGAGGTCCCGGACGAGCCCCCAAGATCAATACAATTACAATACTTTGATCAGTTTTAGCGGTAATTGTTTTCCATCAATGTTTTTGTATCTAATCATGTTTGAAAGAACAGATGTGAAACAATCAACCTTGTGATTAACTTACAACGCAATCTATTAATTTGGGCGTTTACGTTACACTTTTTCAGATATGTGAAAGGTTCAGTCAATCTTCATCTAAAATATATATCAGAAGCCAATTGAAATTATTTGAACACGTGTTTTATTTAAGATTGAGTGAACCTTTTAACATATCTGAAAAAAGTGTCACGTAAACACCCAAATTAATAGATTGTGTTGTAAGTTAATAACAAGGTTGATTGTTTCATATCTGTTCTTTAAAAACATAATTAGATAGAAAAAAACATTTATAGAAAACAATTACCGCTAAAACTGATGAAATTATTATAGCTCAAAAAACTAACTCGAGGGCTCGTCCGGGAGTCGAACCCGGGACCTCTCGCACCCGAAGCGAGAATCATACCACTAGACCAACGAGCCAACATACAGCAAGGTGTATAGGATTGTGGCTTTGACTCTGTGGGCTGGGTTGTCACGTAGACCAGTACAGTACAGAATAAGGTCGCTTTTTAAATTAAGGCATTGGATTGCGGGTGCAGGTCAACTCGGCCACAAGTCAACTCGGCCACAGTCAACTCGGCCACAAGTCAACTCGGCCACAAGTCAACTCGGCCACAAATCAACTCGGCCACACAATTTTCGGCTTCTGCCAACTCGGCCACAAGTCAACTCGGCCACAAGTCAACTCGGCCACAAGTTATTTAATGTAAATCTAAGATTTTGCATCCTTTTTCTTCAATATATGATTGAAATAAAGTACACAGTATGTTTTAGTAAAACAGGACCACCACACTACCAAAAGAGATTTGAATGCTATTGCCTATGAATTAAAAAGAGTTATTTATGAATGTGTTCGTCTTCTGTTTACTCACAACATTCTACTTCAACAATAATATTAAACAACAATAACGACAATAAATTTGTAATATTTACATTAATAATACTAATTAGTCATTATCATTGATGACATAATTAATGTCGAAATATTGAATCCCAACACGATGGCGTGTATTTCAATACTTGGAGTATGTATTGTACTTTCTTATATTATTTAATTTTATAATATAAATACACAACAAATACAAATATACAACAAATACAAATACTGTACAGTAAATAAAAAACAAAACTAAATCAAATCAGGATTATTCAAAAGTAGATCAGGGAAAAAAATAGAGGAATATGATGATATAAAAACATAATGAAGAGGGCTCGTCCGGGAGTCGAACCCGGGACCTCTCGCACCCGAAGCGAGAATCATACCACTAGACCAACGAGCCAACATATGTCTCTTATACACATCT